AAAATCGGCAATGTAAAATGAAGTTCCAAATGCTTTTAATTGTCTTTAATTAATATGATGTTTATTATATTAATAATACTAGTTTTAATGCATAGTCACATATTCATACATGTAAAATCGATCAAGGTAATTTTTCCTCCCTACAACGTTACGTTACAGAAAATGACGTTATACTAGCATTTTTAGCTCACCTGAGCCGAAGGCTCAAGTGAGCTTTTCTGATCAAAATTTGTCCGTTATCTGTCGTCGTTGTTGTCGTTGTAAACTTTTCACAAGTCCATCTTCCTCTCCAGAACTATTGGGCCAGTTTCAACCAAACTTGGCACAGAGTATCCTTGGGTAAAGGGGATTCAAGTCAAATGAAGGGCCACGCCTTCTTCCAAAGGGAGATAATTACAAATTAGTGAAAAATTAATGGCATCTTTTAAAAATCTTCTTCTCAAGAACCACTGGGCCAGGAAAGATGAAACTCATGTGGAATCATCCTCAGGTAGTGTATATTCAAGTTTGTTCAAATCATGACCGGGGGAAGGATTGAGCCACATTGGATGAACAAAGTTTTACATAGGAATATATAGGGAAAATCTTTAAAAATCTTCTTCTCAAGAACAGCAAAGCCATGATTGGTCATATCTATTTGGAAGCATCTTCAGGTGGTGTAGATTCAGATTTGTTCAAATCATGACCCCCGGGGGAAGGATGGGGCCACAATGGACAATCAAAGTTTTATATAGGAATATAAAGGAAAATATCGTTCAAAATCTTCTTCTCAAGAACCACTGGGCCAGAAAAGATGAAACTCCTGGGGAATTATCCTCAGTTAGTTTAAATTTTAAATTATTCAAATCATGACCCCTGGGCGTAGGGTGGGTTCACAATGGACAATCAAAGTTTTACATAGGAGTATATAGGGAAAAAAATTATAAAATCTTCTTCTCAAGAACATCAAGGACATGATTAGTCATATTTATGTGGAAGCATCTTCAGGTGGTGTAGATTTAAGTTTGTTCAAATCATGACCCCCTGAGGTAGGGTGTGGCCACAATGGACAATCAAAGTTTTACACAGGAGTATATAGGAAAAAAAATTAAAAATCTTCTTCTCAAGAACAGCAAAGCCATGATTGGTCATATTTGTATGGAAGCATCCTCAGGTGGTGAAGATTCAAGTTTGATCAAATCATGACCCCCAGGGGTAGGATGGGGCCACAATGGACGATCAAAGTTTTACATAGGAGTATATAGAAAAAATCTTCTCGAGAACAGCAAAGCCATGATTGGTTATTAACTATTAGGAAGTATCCTAAGGTAGTGTAGATTCATGTTTGAAAAAAATCATGACTCCTTGGGGATAGGGTGGGGCCACAATTGATGATTAAAGTTATGCATAGAAATACATAGGAATATATTTTTAAAAATCTTCTTCTCAAGAACAGCAAAGCTATGATTGGTCATAATTATATGGAAGCATCCTCAGATAGTGTAGATTCAGATTTGTTCAAACTATGACCCCCGGGGGTAGGGTGGGACCATAATGAAAGTTCAGACTTGTGGGGAAAAAAGTCACAGACGAAGAAATATGTTAGCATCTTTAGTTAGAGTAGATTCAATTTTGTTCAAATCAAACCCCTCCCCGTTTTTTTAGGGGTAGGTCGGAACCACTTATGCATTAAAGCTGTTCGATACTGAACTGATTTTTGTTTTTTTTTTCTAGCCACAGTGCACAGTTGAGCGATGTGGCCCATGGGCCTCTTGTTCTTTTAAATCACAATCATACCTCAAACTCTCTTTTTTCCAAAAATATATTCGATGTCGAAAAAAGAAAAAAGGCAAAGCAAAGCTAAAGGTCTTCACTATCAATTGACAAAAACCCGTTAATTTTTGAGACAGGGCCATTTTTGATGGTTCGTGTCTCTTGCTCTTTAATTTCAGTAGCTAGTGTATATATACGTGTAAACTATATAGGGGTAACTGGGTCAATTTAAACGAAATAAAAAATGTTTTGTTTATTTTTATCCGATGAAAACAAAACAAAACCTGAACAATGGTTATCTAACACAAAAATACGATATTTCAAAGCTTATATGAAATATGAAAACTCACAGGTTATTTTTGAGGAGTTTGGAATTTTATGAAAATGTCCCATTTACCCCAATTTTTCCTAAAGAGGTTAAGCCGATTAAGTACATTCTCAGTGAGCAAACTTCACCAGGAAAATAATGAACTTTCATATTCGTATATAAATCTACAATACATATAATACATCATAAACTTGGAGTTTTGGTCACAATAAAAATACATTAAAAGCTCAGATAGTTTTTTACTTACAATATGGAACCAAATTTTCTAAGTGCACTGCCATAGCATTTTTTTAACACACACTCATTAATGTTCATGCGCAACCAGCTAAACATTAAATCGAAAGTAGGACGTTCAAATAGATTACGTATATCAAAATGTGGGACTTTACCTATTATCCGCATATCTTGTACAAAAGTAATTTAAAATCTTTCTTTTTGTAAATTTATACAAAAGTAGTTTAACTTTTTTTTGGTTCGATCTAGATCGTTCTGGAGATGTTTCAATGGGAGGGGTTTTCAGGAAAAAAAATTATGAAAAATATGAGTATCGAACATATGAAATATTCACTGCACTGTAAAGCAAGGAAAGACTGCAAAATATAAGTCCCAGAAAAAAAACAATTAAATGGCTGTGTTTACCGTTTCGTTGTAATATCATGCATGTTAAGATCATGCAACTTTTATTCTTAGCGTAAATTTGTTAACAAGCAACGATAAGAAATATGTTCTTAAATCTTTTTTGGAAGATTGTATCAAAATTCTTGGTCTACTGACATTCTTTTTTTTGTCCCCCACTTTCTCGATTTCAAGCGAGGGGACATTATCTCATTCATCTGTCAATCTGTCTCTCCCAAAACCTATAACATTGGCCATTCCTTCTGAATGAGAAAAGACAAGGTTATCACATTTCATATGTTCATTACCTGTAACAAGACCTTTCCAAACATACTATGATTTTTGACCCCGTGACTTTGACCTTGAAGTTTGACCTACACCTACTTTTCAAACATTTTAACAAACTTTGGCCATAGCTTCTGAATAACAAAAGATAGGATTTTCATATTTCACATGACATGTACATTTACCTTTTCAAATTACTTTGATATTTTTTGACCCCGTGACCTTGACCCTGATGCCTGACCTACTTTTTAAAAATTTTATTTTTGGTTATAACTTTTTAATGCGATAGGATAGGGTTTTTATATTTGAGATGTGTATTACCTGTGACAAGACGTTTTCAAACATGCTATGTATTTTGACCCCGTGACCTTGACTTCAAGTTCGACTTAATTTACAAAAATTTTAACATTGGTGATAACTTTTGAAGGAGAGATGATAGTGTGCTTTTATTTGACAAGTGCAATACTTATGTCAAAACATTTCCAATTGTGCTATGATATTCGACCCCGTAACCTTGACCTTGAAGTTTGACCTAATTTATTATTGCTGCTAACGTTTGAAGGAGCGCAGATCGGGCATTCTTATTTGACAGGAACATTACCAGCAACAAGCATTTTCAATTGTACTAAGATTTTAAACCTGAAGATCTTGACCTTGAAGTTCGAGAGGTAACCGAGTTCAGAATGTTTACACCTTTGACAGACAGTTGCTTTTGATACTATCTTGCATAAAAGATGGAAGTTCTACTCTGCATGAAAGAGGATAAACTAAAAGAACGTTATACAGTATACGTGTACTATAGGAAGTGTTTGAATTGATTGTCATGATTTAATTAATCTCTTTCGAATCTTGACATCTCATATGTACCATTTCACAAAACTTTTATAAAATACCGGAAGTACTGACTTGATTGTCATATCTTTATGATAAAATGCCATCTGAGATTCTGGGTTTTTTTTATCAATCTCTTTCGAATCTTAATTGACATCTCATATGTACCATTTCACAAAATTTTATAAAATACCAGAAGTACTGACTTTTTCAAAACTTTCATTGATCTTAGTCCCCAAGTGTAAAACAACTGCTCTAAAGTTTTCGAGTTGTTAGTTGCATGGTTTTACATTCAGCGAGTGTACTTCTTGTCTCAGAAGATAATTTGAAAATTCTAGATCTCCCTCTCATGTAAGCATAGAATCGCTCGCGAGTCGAGGTAGTCAGAGCGAAAGTTTCGCTTCGTTCTAGAGTAGCGGAGAAGGAGTTGATCCTTACGTCGAGGGTTTGAATCCCATTGTGGAACGTGGAGAAGACTGATCCTTTATATGAGACCGTATAAACCGGGCTCCCTTGTCACGTTAGATGGTAGTAAGAAAAAAAAGACCCCCCAGTGCTCAACGGCTAAAAGTACCGCGTACCGAGTAAAAGTTTAGCAGCCTTCCAACCTGGCAGTCAGTGAAATATTCAAACACACATTCATATACAATGTAGTTTTTCTTTAAAACACTTTAGTTAAGGAGGAAAACCTTTGATTCCGACAATCAAAAGAAAGACACATGGGTTAATTAAGTCCAAATAATCCGCCTGATATTTAATTCAGGTAAATTGATTACTTTTGCATTTCTTTTTTTACAATAGAGAAATATTGCCATTAAGAGTTCACATGTTTCCGTTAAAAGTGTGTTCTATCCTTTTATCTATACTCCCACGCACGTTTCAACCCGCTCCGGACAGAGCTTAATCGTCTGTAGTCTGTCTAATTTCCTCGCCTTCTTTATAATCGATTATATGAAAATGCTTTGTCTTTGCCTTTTTTAACAATTTATAGGACCGCCTTCATTGTGAATCGATAATAATTTCCCACTCACTCATGATTCTTCTGTCAAGTCTGAGGAAGAGTTCTCAATGCGACGGAGAGCATTCTCTTGAGACGCTGGCAGTAGTGTGGATGGAACTCTACGTAAAGCCAGAAAAAAATATTTATAAAAAAAATTGGTTGTATAACTTATGTGTGTCAAAGTGTAATCTCATTAAGGCACGGAAGATCTGACGTAAGTCGTGAGATTGAATATAAGAAACAGTGATCAGTTTGAGCACGTTATAAAGTAGCGTTATGGAGAACGGAAGATACAACATTTCAGCGTTATCGCTTTCGAGGCCATCAGAATTGTTAGAAAAGTTAACTTTAACTGGGAGTTCTTTACTGCTTATTGTGGCCATTATAGTGAATATACTGGCTCATTTTGTGATTGCATCAATATTTTTAAAATCTCGTCCTTTTCGTCAAAGCCGGCATTTTTATATCCTCAGTGTGGCTCTTTCGGACTTTTTCACTGGAATGACTATACCTTTTTTAATTTTAGAGTCGATGAATTCCCGGTGGACTTTGGAGCCTTATTTGTGCCCGGTGTTTCTAGTGATAAGACATTCCATGATGTTCATCTCTCTCCTGAGTGTTTTGCTGTTTACCCTGGATAGATGGTGGAGTATAAGTTTCCCACTGTCCTATCGAGCACGCCAAAGCCAACAAAAATCGGTCCTAGTTCTTATAATTGTTTGGATTTTTGCGGCAATTGTTCACATACCTGCCATTTTTGTATGGAATTCTCAGTACATGCACAACGGATACAAAATGACGTTCTGTCAGTATCCGTATTATTTTGATCGAATGTACACAATTTCCTTGACAGTGCTTGAATTCATCTTGCCCATTGCTTTTCTTTTGACCCTAAATGCTTCAATATATGTGGTATTAGTAAAACGTCGGAATGCCACGGAAATAAGAAGATCACTTAGCACCAGCGAGAGAGCAGTCCGTAGTCGGAAAGACAACCAATACCCTTGTTGTATTCCAAACTGCCATTGTAAATCGAATAAATCTGACAGGTTACAGCCACGTTCGACACAACTGGTCAAAAATCACAGTGCATCGGAACTACCGTCGCCATCAAATAGTATCAGTATTGACAGTAGAAGCAAGTCTTTAGAAGCGGTCACTGCAGTTTCTTGTCAGTATAGTTTTTTGCGAAAGGAGAGTGACAACCTGGTACGAGATTTTCTTTTACGTCAGAGTATGAGAGCGTTGTGTTCGGTTGGTATTCTCACCATTTGCGCCATCTTGTTTCGCTCACCATACGTCATTGCCATACTCATCGATGTGTTTTCTTGTCCCGTGCCTTCAGGAATATTGGTGTTTCTGCAGAACTTAACTGTAATCAATGCTTCCATTAATCCTTTTTTATACAATCTAGGAAGTAAAACCATTAAGAAAACTCTCCGATCCTGCATTAAGTCTAAACTGAAGAAGACGGATAAATTTGGTGAAAATTTAGCCAGCATGTATTGTATTCTTGAACGAAATGGCAAAGTTTCTACCATTCTCAATCAAAGAGCATAACCATGATTTGTAAATGATATTTTAAGTATAAAAATGTGAATTTCTTCCACTGATAATAATATCGGTAATTATCCAGATATTGGTGCCATTTTCTTTCACATTTCAGTTGCTATTTATTTATTTTTGTTAGAAATTTACTATTGAATAAAAGATTGTTTTTGTATTCGTTTTTATTATTTTTGATCAATTGCTCTAGTTTACAGTTTTTATTTCAAAAGAGCGTGTCTGGAATTATTGGAACTTTACAGATATATTTAAGTCTGTTGATCGTGCATAATGCTAGCACGGAAGTGCAATGAAGGGTAGATGACCTAATTAGCTTTAAATAAATCGTGGAGTTATCCTCATTTCACGAGAAATGTCCACTGGCTACAGATTCTGACAAAATTAATCAATGAATGATGAATCCATTTATATACCACCGTACTTAACATTGCTCAAAGACTTCGTTCATATGGACCTAATCTCATTCAGAAAAGAAAATCGATTGCGTCGTGTCATTTGATGTTTAACATTAGAAGAAGGAGCTACAGTGACTGCATTCACTATCATGTTGAATTTTCTTGCCTTTGTAGAGTGTTTTTCTTGGTCAGGGGGTGTATGACTAATTAGAATACTAGTCAAAATACTACAGAGTGAAAGAAGCCAAAAATTGTTTCAAACAATCTTATTTTTTGACATAAAACCCGTCATTTTAGTATCAAATAGAGAAAATAAGGATGGGATTGGTTCATAGATCACCTGAGCTGAAAGCTCAAGTGAGCTTTTCTGATCACATTTTGTCTGTCGTCCGTCTGTAAACTTTTCACATTTTTGACTTTTTGTCCAGGAACTCTAGGCCAATTTCAACCAAACTTGCCACAAAGCATCCTTAGGTGAAGGTGATTCAAGTGAAAATTTGGTGGTATCTTTTAAAAATCTTCTTCTCAAGAACCACTGGGCCAAAAAAGTTGAAATTTATATGTAACCTTTTTTAAGTAGTGTAGATTCATATTTGTTCAAATCACGACCCCTGGGGTTAGGGTGGGGTCACAATGCAGGATCAAAGTTGTATATAGGAAAAAAATCTTCAAAAATCTTCTGAAGAACAACAAAGCCATGATTAGTCATATTAATATGGAAACATCCTCAGGTAGTATAGATTCAAGTTAGTTCAAATCATGATCCCGTGGGACCACAATGGGGGATCAAAGTTTTACATAGGAATATATAGGAAAAAATCTTTAAGAATCTTCTTCTCAAGAACAGCAAAGCCATGTTTAGTCATATTGATATGAAAGCATCCTCAGGAAGTGTAGATTTAAATTCGTTCAGATCTTGATCTCCGGGGGTAGGGTGGAGCCACAGTGGAGGATCAAAGTTTTACATACTTTTATTAGGAATATATAGGAGAAAATCTTCATAAATCTTCAAAAATCTTTTTTTTCAAGAACATGATGTTTAGTCACATTGATATAGAAGTATCTTGAGGTAGTGTGGGTTCAAGTTTGTTCAAATCATGACCCTGAGGAGTATGGTGGGGCTACATCTATAAAAATCATGACACCTGGGGGTAGGGTGGGGTCACATTAGGGATAAAAATTTTACATTGCAATATATAATAGAAAAAATCTGATGCTGAGGAACAGCAGGGCCTTATTGACTCAGGTGAGCAATGTTGCCCATGAGCCTCTTGTTCTCATTCTGAATTTAAAATTTGTACATTACATGTTGGCTCGTGGCGTCGTACACGGCATCTATTAGCACTCTAGTGTTTCCACAAAAAATATACCGTTTATGGGAAGCATAATTTCATTTATTTTCCCTTACCACATGTTAGAATTCGTAAAAATATCAAGCCTTCATTCATACAAATAATGACCATTAAGTATGTTAAGTATTCACTGTTTCGTGAATTTGCGGCTATAACGAGAATTCAAACATGGCGATAAATTATATTGCATCGTTATTGAAAGGTCCTTCATGTAAATGACCAAACGTGTTAAAAACACATTGCGTGACCAAAATATATTTTGATCTCAGTAGGTTTGTTTTCCTTTGAAACTCCCTGTTTCTTTCGATCTGTGTTCTGCCATGCTAGTACTGGCACGAACAAGAGGCCCATGGGCCACATCGCTCACCTGAGCACAGTGGCTAGGATTGATTGATTGATTGTATGTTGTTTTACGTCCCATTGGAGAATTTTTCACTCATATAGAGACTACAACATATACCGGTGAAGGGCTTTAAAGTTTGACCTTTGCTAGGCACTCAGGTCCATTGAGCAGTGAGGGATATTTATCGTGCCAACGCCTACCGTGACACGGGGCCTCGGTTTTTAAGGTCTCATCCGAAGGACCCGCAACTTTCACTTCAAAGTGCCGAGCGCACGGCGAAGGAACAGTTGCTACCTATTTTTAACGACTTAGGTCAGTCGCGGCCGAGATTCGAACTCACGACCTCCCGATCACGGAGCGAGCGCTCTACCGACTGAGCTACCGTGAACGGTTCAGTGGCTAGGAAAAAGCACAAAACAGTTAAGCATTAAAAAGTTTTTAGGGGAGACTTGAATTTTAATCTACCTGAGGATGCTTTTATCTCAGTATAACAAATGGCTTTGCTGTTCTTGAGCAAAAGATTTTTTATGTATATTCCTTTTTAAAAATTTGATCCTCCATTGTGGCCCCTCCCTATCTCCGGGCGTCATCTTTTGAACAAACTTGAATCTACACTCTGAGGATGCTTCCATATCAATTAAGCTAAACATGGCCTTTCTGTTCTTGAGAGGATTTTTTTCAAAATATTCCTAATATGTAAAACTTTGATTCCTCATTGTTGCCCCAACCTACCCCCGGGGCCATCATTTGAACAAACTTGAATCTACACTACCTGAGGATGCTTCCATATCAATTAGACTAAACATAGCCCCAGGGGTCACGCTTTGAACAAACTTAAATCTACAATACCTGGTGATGCTTCCATATCAATAGGAATGATCACAGCTTTGCTCTACTTGAGAAGAAGATTTTTAAAAAAAAAATTTCCTATGTACTCCTATGTGAAATTTTGATCGCTATTGTGGCCCCACCCTATCCCCGGGGTTCATGATTTGAATAAACTTGAATCTACACTATGTAATGAAGGTTTACTATAAGTTTCAACATTTCTGGCTCATGGTTGTTTAGAAGAAGATTATTTGAAAGATGACACCAATATTTCACTTATTCTTAATTATTTCCCTTTAAAGAGGCTGTGGCCATTTATTTGAACAAATTTGAATCTCTTTCACCAAGGATGCTTTGTTTGTGGCAAGTTTGGTCAAAATTGGCCCATTGGTTCTTGAGAAGAAGTCGAAAATGTAAAAAGTTTATAGACGGACAGATAGACGGATGCCAGACAAATTGTAAACAGAAAAGCTCACCTGAGCTTTCAGCTCAGGTGCGCTAAACATGAAGCCTGTCTGCATTGGGTCATATCTACATAGCTTAATTACCATCTTTCGGTATTCCACTTACAATCAGGTATTAACAACTTGATTCGTTTAAGAAATGAATTTTCATGCGGAAAAGGTGGTGTGCAACATCTAAGTACAAAATTCAGACTGTTCCCTCTCAAAATTTAGCGCATTTAATCTATTTCTTCAATAAACGAGCGCACTTGGGTCTTTAAAGTTTTAGTCCATTTATCACAAAAAGCGCTAAAAAATAATCTTTGAAATAAGTACGTTTGCATTATTTACATGAGAAAATGAATTTTGTGATTCAAAAATGTTCAGCCTCCATAAAATATTATGAATAACAGTTCAGTCCATAACTTTAGATCTATAATACCGAATAAAAAATTACTTATCGCCAAACAAGCAAATCTATTTATTTTTATCTTAATTGTTTAATTATTTTGATTTTATTTATTAGTTTATTTTTTTTAGTTTGTTTTTGGAGGTTTTTTTCTTTTGTTTTCCACGAAAAGAACTCTTGATTTGTTATTCGGAGTTTTCGTTCTCATTCTTCTTGCCCTTTTTGAAAACTTTGCCCGTTTCACACAACTTTACAATTATATAAATAAAGCAGACTAAAGGCTTTGCGTATTTCTAAAAGGATCATTAGTCCTTAAATTTGTGCTTAGGGAGAAAATAACTCAAAGCAAAATTTTCCCGAATTCAATGCTATTTATTGACTATTCGTCTCGGCGTTGAAAACGCATGTCTAGAGCTATTGATACATTCCTGTTTTATATTCATACAGAAATAAATTGAAGTGACTTTCGAACTAATTAACTCGTCGAAGTTTCTTGATGAAAACCTTAGAAAACCTTCGTGTTCTGACGAATTAAATCAAGATGAGGCAATAAATATATCTACTTTTACCCCACCAAACTCGGTGCTCCAAGGCTCCTTAGGTAAGATTAAGTCTAATTTTAAAATAAAATGGATTATAATTTCATATTCTGTCGTTTCAAGCACGACCTTCTTCATGGAAATCACTATATATTCGAGTTTAGAATTGTTCAAAGAATCAGTTAGTGGTTGTTGCTCAGATGCATTGCTCTCACAAGAGAATCAGTGATCTTATGTGCTACTCGGAAGGAATTCAGTCCTTCAAAATCTAATTCAATGATTACTTGAGATTAAGAAATGACAAATTAAAAACAGGGCCAAATAGAAAATTTGAATTAAACGGTAACGAAGAATTAATAGCGATTTAATTAATAGTAGCCACTTAAACTTCTTTGCCACGCATGGTCACCGATTTTGATAAAACTTTGCCTATTATTACAACTTGACACCAGAAACATATATCAAATAAAATTTCGTTCCTATGTGTCTTGGTTGCTATGGTAGCAACCAGAAAAGTTAAAAAAAATTGAGATTTTCAGCTACTTTGAATCTTTATCAAGCCTTAATAAAGAATCAAGAAAAACAAACAAACCATTCTCCCCAAAACATGACACCTTGTTGCCACTTATGCTATAAAGAAACTATTTAGAATTTATCTCTAAGTGGTAACCATGGGTACATTTGGAATACATTTAAGATGCTGAAAAATGCTAAAAAACGCTAAATATTCACAAATGATAGATGTTACATGATCAAACTTAATCAACAACTTAAGAAAAACAATA